AATTCTCCTGCTTAGTTTAATCTATGCTTGGTCTCCAGGAGAATAAACAGAACAAACACAGAGCCCTTAAAGTTCAAAACATTCACAGCATTGTCATTTAATTATATACTTCAGCAGCTCTAAGGAAATACCATAGAAAAAGCTTCATTAAAAAAACCTGTAAATCATTGGAGCTTTGGGGAAACAAATCACCCAAGCTTTACAACATGGTATCTTTCAAACAAAACAGTCTGAAAGTCAAGAAGTCAAAGCCAAACAAGTATTGCATGTAATTTTAAGGACATACAAAAATCCAGATATTTAACTCTTGATAATAAAGCACTTCTAGTTGTCCACACTTATCTCATGGCATATGCCATGAATTCCATATAAATGCAAAACACTTGATATATAAATACAGCCTTCAGATATTGCAAGTGTTTAAACTCTAAATAAGGAGGTAATTTCCAATAGTTCAAGCTGTTCTGAAAACACAAGAAACACTTTTTCACTCTTCCAAATACACTTTGTTTTCTATTATTTACTTTTTATACAAGGGTTAGAACGGTATAGCCATATTCTCCGAGAAAACAGGTACAAAGAGCACCAATAGTGCAGCTGGCAACTTGCAGCCAGTTACCATTCAGATGCGGACTCTTAAGCAGACAAATCCTCTGGTTTAACTTGCCTACAGGAACATGAGTCAGTTTTCTTGATTTTTCAGTTCAAGTAAATAAACGTCTAACCAACAATCCTCAAGACCTGTCAACCGTAACTGAAAAAGACTAAACACAATGCGAAGCCTTTTCACCCCACAACAACAGAAGGACAAGACTCCTTGAAGTCTGTTAAAGAGTTTTACTGTGGATAGGGATTTGATGCAAAAGCTATATAGATGCCTCAGCTGTGGGTCCTAAAGTAAAAAAGCATGATGGGAGCATATATAACCAAAGGCCAGGTTGCCACCAAGCTGAGCTATTTTTACCTGCACTGCAACTCAGGCAACCAGCTGATGCCGCTGGAAAATACCTTTTTTGTAGGGTGCCTTTAGCTAGATCAGGTTCCTGACATGAAATGCCAGCCTGCAAGGCCAGTGCAGGGCAACCAGCCCTACACTTGTTTTTTATTTTACCTTTTTGAACAACAAACAAGAGGACCACCTGAGCCAGTCCTCTGCAGTCCAGATTAAAACCAAGGACTCTCCCTCCCCTAATACTCTCACATTCCTTCCCTGGCTACAGACTCCTGCTTACTGGCGTCTAGTTCTGCAGACTCTTCTGTTGAAGCACTCCTTCGTGGGATCACACTGTGAGAACAGGCATCTAAACTCCAGTACTGCAGTGCTTCCTGTTGAAATTAGTCCCTCACTGTATGAGAGGTCTGAACTACCTGACTGGTACTGAACTTGGGTCACTCCTGTACACTACCAACTGCTGAACACTCGCTGGTGTTTCTAAAAAGCTTTTCATAGTGCTGGTATCACTAAACCCATTAGCTCACTCAGTTCCCGAGATGGGTGTTTGTGACTTACTGATCATATTCTCAGTGAAGTACCTGGTGAAATAGTATTTTCCTGATTGATTCCACAAGTAATTAACTGCCATTTATGAACAACATAGTCCCTAAAAGGATTGAGACTGTTTTTTTTCCTTAACAACTAAGTGCCAAGAAGCAATCATGTAACTGAAAGGCTCACTGAAGCTCATGCTGTCCCCTGTCCTAAAGGGCAAGCATCTTAGCTATTTCTCAACAAACACTTACTGGTTATTTAACCACATATATGCTAAATTCTTATTTATATATGTAAAAAAAGGAAATGGCTGTGTTTTCACTTACTAGTTTCAAATAAAAATCACTATTGTAAAAGCACTGAGCTGCAATGTTCTAGCATAATCATTTCCACTGCATGTGCAGGTGATCATAATTCCAAAACCTGGCAAAAGCACTTCAACACAACCATGAAATTGGTGTCACTCTACCACCTCCTCATCATTAGTTTCTTTAATCTCAGATATGTGAAATAAACAACATCTGCTCTTTTAGTAAACTCTATTAATCTCAACTTGCATTTTCAGGAAACTAAAAAGCTCTAAACTTCCTTTAAAAAAAAAAGAGAAGGGCCTCTAAAAAAAAAAAAAAAAAAAAAAAAAAAGCGACACAATTTCTTAGACTTTCTTCCAGGCAAGAAATAGGTTAAGGATATATGCTTTCCCTGCACCACATTCTGTGTGGAAACACACTTGTGTTGTAACACATTCTGTCTAACAGCCTCCAAGATAATGCTTATAAATCATGGAATGCTTAGGTTTGGAAGGGATCTTAAAGATCCAACCCCCCTGCCATCAGCAGGGACACCTTCCACTAGATCAGGTTGCTCAAAGCCTCATCCAGCCTGGCCTTAAACACTTCCAGGGAGGGGGCATCCACAGCTTCTCTGGGCAACCTGTTCCAGTGTCTCACCACCCTCACAGTGAAGAACTTCTTCCTAATATCTAATCTAAACCTCCCCTCTTTCAGTTTAAACCCATTTCCCCTTGTTCTATCACTACCTGCCCTTATGAAAAGTCCCTCCCCAGCTTTCCTGTAGGTCCCCTTCAGGTACTGGAAGGCCGCTATAAGATCTCCCCAGAGCCTTCTCTTCTCCAGGCTGAACAGCCCCAACTCTCTCAGCCTGGCAAGTGGCAGTTTATTAATGGCATTCAACTATGATCATAGTTTGTCTAATTGTCACAGAAAGCTGTGAGCTTGTTTCCTGGAAAACAACACATAGGTTGTACAGTAGATGATTAATTCAAGGATTTAAGAACAATGTATTAAAATAGTTTATTAACACCAAGACAAAACACACAAAAATAATTGGCTTTTACAGAAACAAAAGCACAATACAGTAATAAATCTTGCCTGTTTTACAAAACTTATCACCATAACTGAGGCTGCATATAGTCTGGTAGTCTTTCACACAAGAATTACCTTACACTCTCACCAAGCTCTCTGACTCTAATGTTTAGCATCCTGCATCAAATGCCTAAATGTTTCTATCACAAAACCTTCCTTGCGGCAGATGGATATTACCCAAATACATTCTCTTACTTTCTCAAACAACACAGCAGTGCAGATTTTCTTCACCAATCTCGGCAATTTTGCACAGCTGCTTCAGGTCCACTAATTAAAGTGAAAAGAGAATGAAGAGAGAATGATCTTTCTACCTAGTCTTTTCTTGTCCAGATTATACTGACAGCAAGAAGTCTCAAATCTTCCAACTGTGGAAATGTTCACTAACATAGGAGAAAAGTGAGCATCTCACGTGGTGAATTACTTCTTTTTCTTTTTTTTCTTTTCATCTGCTGCCATTTTTAACTTGACTTCTTCCACAGGAAGTGCTCCTAATTTCTTCTTCTTCGCATTCTTTACCTTCTCCTTGATGGCTTCAATATCAATTTTTTTCTCAGTGGAGGCTACATAATAAAAACCACAAGGATAATAGACATGAATTTTACTTTTTCTGAATTTTAATGGTCTACAAGATGACTTCATACATAAACACAGTAAACTGCATCCTGTGGTATTGGCTAGGACTTATTTTATGTGCACTAATGATTTTATAAACTATTCTCATCATTGCCTTTGTTTAAGCTAGTATTATCTACAAACCTCTTTCAGCAGAATTAAAAGAAGAACATTCATATAAGAAATCTATACAGTTGCATTTGAATACAGATGCCACACTGCACACAGACAAACTATTATCACCCGCTCCTCAGACCACAGATGTACTCCTCTGAAATGAATGCATACATACTCTCTTGGGCATAGGCCTATTGGCTTGGCTGGTCTCACATAAAAAGAGAAAAAAATCAGTTACAGAGTTCTTACACCTGGAGAAGCTTTCATGGAATTTTGTCTTTTTGCATGTAACTAAGGTGGTAAGATCCCAAACATGCCTGTCCCGTCCTTATACTCACTCCCTGGCCATCTATTAATGGCTGCTGTTGGAAACAGCATGGGGAAGGGTGGGCTGGTAGAATGATACAGATCTTTGACCCCTGCATGAGACCTTTATAAAAGACTTCTATAGAGAGTGCCAGAATACTTAAGTTAAATACTTAATGCTGAGCAACATGAATAACCTACTCTTAATATTCATCTAGTTCTTCTAGATGGCATTTTCTCTTTTGGGCGTGAGTCAGGAGTTTGGATCTAACCGTCCTGTCGGATACAGTTAATTCCTACATCTAATAGTGGGTACCAGCTGTCTTTGGATCTCAGTTATTATCAACATACAAACTACTGCTGTCATTTATTCTTGGAAGACTGAAGAATTTCGGGTTAAAACACACAGCAGCTAGAAAAGCATAGTATTGGAGATACTGTACAGTCAATAGCAGCACTGTTGAAAATTTACTGCCATCACAAAAAAGTACTGTACCAATGCTGCAGACATGCTTTTCAAGAACCACAACCTTTTTGGTTCATAAGAAATTCTGTAACAGTGTAATAATTTGTAGGTAGTACAGCTAATACAAAAAATACAGAGTATATCTAATACAACCAATATGTAGTATAAGCAATGCATACAGAAAACTGAAGACTTGTTTCTCTAGTGTGTAAAAACCAAATCATTTGAAAACACAAGTTCTTACTCTGCATATAGTGTGGTTTCTACTTTAACTTTTAGAAAAGCTATTTATCCTGTCGTATACTAATATTTACTTGTGGCTTAAGTTTTCAAGTACCGCTTTTGAGTTTCTTTTTTGTAACAGAAAAGCCATTTAAATGCAACAGTTATGGCACCTTTACTACAAGACTGCAAGCCAAAAACTGATTAAGCCAGAACAACCAATTGAGATGTCCATCAGGAAAATGTTCTACAGAGAACTGTCATTTTATAGGCACACAGTTAAGGGCTGCATGATCTTTCTACTGTCCCTGGCAACTCCAGGCATGTATTTAACCACTAGGAATTATTTGCATGATCTTTCTTATTTCCTACAGCTGTCTCTCTGCAAAATCACTCAGCCTAGGGAATCAACAGTAGAAGGTCCTAAAACAGGAAAAAAATAAATGGTTACCTTTCTTTGTTTTCACAACTGGCTTTTCCTTTGGTGGGATAAAAGCTTTATTTCTTTCTTCTTGTCTTTTCTTGACAGCATCTGCTTGCTTTGCCTAAAATTACCAAGAAAAAGGTTAAGTGTTAGTAAAGCAGGGCAAAAGGGGCAAAAAAAAAATTCCAAATCAGCAGTCAAATGCTTTTTAAATGAACAGTGGGTTAGAACAACGTTACCTTTATCTCTTCCACTCGCTTTCGTTTCTTCTGTCTTTCTTTCAAGAAGTATTCACCACTTGCCAATTCTTTGTCAATCTATGTAAAACAAGTATCAAGAAACTTTAGATAATTATGCATTATAAGCCAGATGTATAGCACCAGGAAATAAGAACTTGACAGAAAAGGACTCCCAACTCCTTGTTAGCGAGAACACAATTTCAAGTCATGCTATATTCCTGGACAACCAAATAAAATTTCAGCTGACCTGGCTTTCTGGCTGAGGAGGTGGGAACGGTGTGTACTCCTTCTTAGTATTCTTCTTCTTTGGCTCCTTGCGTTTTTTCAAGTTCTTCCGCTTGAACTTAGGCAAAAATCTTTCCCAACTTTGTGACCTCAGTTCAGGATCTTTTGATAATTCCCTTTTGATCATCAAAGTCTTCAGCAGTTTTAGAATGTCACAAAGAAGTTATTAAAAAAACAGTATTACCGTAGTAGCCAAGAGCTCCAAAATACAAGTTTTACTAAATTTTCTTACAGTGAATATGCTACATCTGAAACTTCCATCTCTCACTTCAGTAAGAGTAGAGGGATGAGTTAATTACAAACAGCAGAACAAGGGAGAGAGATGTCTCAAAACAGGGACAGAATGCACTGGAGAAGGTGCCTCATTTTAAATGAGCAAGTATCCATCAAACAATCGAATGGAGGAAAGTTTATACACACTTTTCCTTTGATGTTTTCTCAGATAATTGTAACGATATTGTGGCAGTATATCCCGGTAAAATGGAGGATATCAAAGTCAGGGGTTTTTTTAAAGCAGCACACTACAGAAATTCTCAAAAATAGATTACCACATAGAAACATGTAAATTATTAACATACAACACTCTGAGAAGCAATAGTACTTTATTGTAAAACAAAAATGCATAGTGGACCGTGCTCTAACCTTTATGTTATATATGGGATGTATATTCTTCATCGTGTCCAGAACAACTTTTCTAACCTGTATTTAATTAAAAAAAAACAAACAAAAAACAATCAAACAAACAAAAACACCCACCTCAGCAAGTATTTCAAATTCTAACCAATTAAAATACCAGGTACACTACCACGCTTCCTCTCCCTGCCACCCCCAGAAGCAGGTACATTTAAAACCCTAATGCACATGGCTAACTAAAAAACACAGCACTTCAGAAATATCAATAACATTGGCACGTTTCTAATACACTCCAGCATGCCCCACAAACATTACTTTCACGTTACCATGGATTTTATGGTGTCATGAGAAACGCTTGCTTTTGACAAGCACTCTTCTGTTACATACTTACTAAAAACATCAGATGTTCCCTAGGGTTATGTATCATTAACTCTGCAGTATTTTCACTCTTACACCTCTTATCCGAAACTACAAAAATTCTTGCTTCAAAAAAACATACAGGAGTATTTCACAAATACTTTTTTACTGCCAAGACAGAAAGATCTCAGAGTCTCAACAAAATTCATCAGCTAAGACTACGGACATGCATGTAAATGTAGCTTACTAACACAGAGCTGAAAAGTCAGCGAGATGCTCTTGAGGTGGTGACCAGATTTTGCCTCTCATCTGCCCTTGAGCTGGGCACACACGTATGCTGCATGAAATGCTCATCTGACTTCCCTTACCTCTTTTAGCCCACTAAAGGGTCCAAGAGCTGAAACAGTGTTGCCTTGTATCATAATATAACAGTTCGTTAACAGTTCCAGGGCCTACACAAAAAAAAAATAAAAAAAAAAATTAAGTAAATGTAAACTGAAGACCTGACACAAATTTGTGTCTAAGAATTTTATGGTTACTACACCTATTAGAAATACCTTCAAAGTAGACCCTTTTGGCCCAAGAAGTCGTGCTCTTCTTTTTATAAAAGTGTCTCTCTTCCTCACCAGAGAGCCTATTTTAATGATGTCACACGCAACGTCATCCTGGAGGATACGAACTGCCTGAAGAGCCAAGAAGCAGACAAGAGCATCTGAATGCAAATGCATTATTCAGATGAATCAAGAGAACACTGCAGTTTATTCTTCTCACTTCAATTTCAGACATATTTTATTTAAATATATATTATATTTTACTTGACTCACTTGAAAATCATTTTGAAAATGTACTATTTTATAAGTACTGTGATAGAATTCAACACAAACTTCTAGGATTAAATACAGACCTGTTCAAAAGGAACACTTCTTGCTAGAAGTTTTATTAAATCTCTAGCCCTGATGATTGCATATGGATCAAAAGTCTTCTTAGTGGTAGTGACAGTCATGCTCCCTTCAATTAGATCCAGCGTTGCATTCACATACTGCAATATTTGAAAAGAAAATAGCGAATCGACCTCTAAGTAAGAACCTCAGAAGTCATCTTTGGCAGTAAGAAATTAACAAACAGAATGCTACATACTGAATCAAACCATTTCCCAAACTTCCTGAAGTGACTTTCAGCTTAAGGGAAATCACACAAAGAAACATATAAAAAAGACTGAATATGTGTCACAAGGTCTGAAACACCACCTCCCTTGTTTCCTAGAATTTGGGCGAAACAAAGTTCCCAGCATTTGGATGAGGAGACACTTGCTGCTGCAGAGAGCTTTGCTGACATCTGTGAATAAATGGTTACACCACACCTTGACCAATATTGATGACAATAAAAAAATGACACTACCAATTCTAAACGCAAGCACACTAGAAATATAGAGAAATACACCATCAGAAAAGCAACCTGCACTATTTTTATAAGCTTAAGTAACACCTGTATCTCCCCAAAGATAAAACTTCGACAATCAGGAAGTACACATACATGTTCACCCAAGGCTTTCTGGACGAGTGGCCAGCACTCTTTCAAGTATGCTTCTCTATACTTAGGGAATAGTGTCGCAAAACTGCTTTCTTCCAGCAGCCCTTTGGGATTATCCTCTCTTGTAAAGGCTGGCTCCTTCCATCCATCCGGCACAGTGAGAAGTTCAGACTCATCAGCTGTTACAGGTATAAAAAAAAAGAAAGTTTTTTTTTTCCTCCTGTTTCATCAGTGACTGCTACTTCTCCCCATTTAATAACAAAAGCTACAATAACTGAAAGCAGGGACGGAAACTTTTGTTTAATACTCTGTTGAATGCGTTTGGCATCTCTTCTGACCTTAAATAAGTTGCTGCTTTAAGCTATTTATACTATAAAACGCCCCCCACA